CCAGGCATGTCTGACACAAATACGACAGACCACAGTCCCTCTATGATAGAGGGACTGTGGACAGACACATACACAGGACAGACAAATGAAGGGAAACAAATAACAGTAAAATAGTCATGTAAAAAAAGATCACAGAAACACAGAAGAGGAAGGGGTAAATTTTGTGGGTTTTGGAAATGACTGATATCATGCTCAATATCATGCCATTCAAGTGAAACACATATTGAAATGCTCTAATTATGTTTGTAACGCCGTCATACCTTCAAAGACACCAGGATGTGTGACCTTCAGGGGTCATGAAAGTCACCTAAGTATTGATGTAAGTATAATTATGGACATTTTGAATTTGTATTTTCCCCTACTACAGGAGTCTGACATATTTTTTTGAGAACCTACAAAATGGGCCTTTTTTTAACTATTCAAAAAGAAATGTATGGTAAAGCAATATATTTCATAAAAAAACAAATTATTTATCGAAATTCCCCAATAATTCAGGATGAGGTTGAATACCAATCTGTTTTCGCCATATGTATCCAAACACTATTTTGAATTATGATGAAACGTAGGAACCAATAATACAAGTTTAAAAAATTTCATTTTCACAATTTTCGTGCGAAAAGTAGTTATGTTACCATACTTTTCTATCAGGAGTTTCGTGAGCAACAGCACAAAATCAGATCATCAGTCATTTAACATAGTAAAGACCTTACACCAATTTAATTTGTGGTTCAATTTTCAATCGCCACTTTTATAGTTAGGTGTTAGGCAAATATGGTTCAATACAGTAAAAGTCAAGGAAATTTGGTGACGAGGGCAGTGGTCATTGCGCCGCGTCATATTTGATATGGAAACTCATAACGAAGTATAGAACGTGTGTAAAATACATTGGTTACCCGATATTTGAACCCTAGGTGTGCGGATGACCCCCGCTTTATAAATTAAGTTACCTCCCATTAAAGAGCGGCATGGCACCAAGCATAAGTTGCCCCCCCCCCCCAATTGTTTGTAGCATTTGAACTCTGGTGAACTGATCAAGAGTTCAATGCAATGACGACTACACTACCAGTGACTCATATGTGTACAATGTTCTGGATTCCGTCGGGGATTTCGTTAGCAACATGTAGGCTTGGTGATTCACAACACTAACCATGACAAATTTGCATAATGCATTTTTTTTTCAGTTCAAAATAAAACATATACCTGTACACACTATTTGTGACCACAATCATATTTCTCTACTGCACTCCAAACATACTC